CCAACGGCTGACATCTTATCAGTTTATCAATCCCATGATATGTGACTTTCTCTCTTATTTTGAGCATTATATAAGGAAGATAAATATAGTATTTACAGGTAAGGCAGACTTTTTAAACTGAGAGAAAAACAACCACCAGTTTTATTCATATATATGAACACCTACATGAGTATTATATTTCATATTACAATAATGTACATATTTTTTTTCTGAGGTACAAATTTGTGCATAAATATCTGACTGAAAGTTTCCAAATGTGAGTATTTTTTCATGTTTATATGTATTCAAAATAGATACATACATCTAATAAAAGAATTTTGTTTATATGATAGCAAATAATGATGGTATTATAACAAATAATACATCATAATGATTGTGAATATATATAAAATACAAATACATTTTATGTTTCTGAACATATATTCGTATGTATGTATGTATGTATGCGTGTATGAATGAATGGATGAATGAATGCATGAATGAATGAATGTATGTATATATGAAAGTATGTATGTATTTATGTATAAATGAATGTGTACGCATGGCTGTATGTGACAATGAGAAAGAAAATGAGTGAATGTGAATGTGTGTTAGTGAGTGAACGAGTATGTGTGTACATATATATATGTACATATGTACATGGATTTAATGTATATATGCATACATGCACACACACACACATCATGTTGTGTGTATTGTGTGTTCTATATATGATGTATGTATACTGTATGTGTGTTGTGTGCGTGTGTGTTGTGTGCGTGTGTGTTGTGTGCGTGTGTGTTGTGTGCGTGTGTGTTGTGCGCGTGTGTGCTGTGTGTGTGTGTGCTGTGCGCGTGTATGCTGTGTGCGTGTGTGCTGTGTGCGTGTGTGCTGTGTGCGTGTGTGCTGTGTGCGTGTGTGCTGTGTGCGTGTCTGCTGTGCGCGTGTATGCTGTGTGCGTGTGTGCTGTGAGCGTGTGTGCTGTGTGCGTGTGTGCTGTGTGCGTGTGTGTTGTGAGCGTGTGTTGTGAGCGTGTGTGCTGTGTGCGCGTGTGCGTGTGTGTTGTGTGTGTGTGTGTTGTGTGCGTGTGTGCTGTGTGCGTGTGTGCTGTGTGCGTGTGTGTTGTGTGCATGTGTGTGTTTCATGTGCGTTTTGCATGTGTGTATGTTTCGTGTGCGTGTTGCGTGCGCGTGTGCATGCTGCGTGTTGCGCGTGGGTGTTGTATGTGCTTGTGCGTGCGTATGTTGCGTGTACTAATACGTATGTATGTGTACAGCACCCTTCCACTTCCAAGTTCGTGAACCTCCAGCCTCAACTCTTCAATCCGTGACACATGCCAATAGGGATTACGTGATTTGCATATAAGAGTCAAATTAGCGGATTATAAAATAAAAAGGTCAGCGGTACCCTTGGAAGCAGAAGGGACAGCTGATATTCTGCAGAAGCGTCGAGAGAGGGAAGGGTTAAGGGGTACTACTCCTGGGCCCGCAAAATGTGTTGCCTCTGAATATAATTTTACTTGCGAGGGTCCAAGCAATCAACTGAAAAAAAAAAATCTATCCAACTCGCGATCTGAATAACGACATTTCTGATTTAAATTCTTGAGACCAAGCCCAGATTTGTCTACTAGTTTTGTAAAAAAAAGTGAACTCTTTTTGCTCGAATAAATCCTTAAGCCGCCATTTAAGAATGTGTTTTTTCATCTATTTACGTCACTGAAATTAACATATTAATATCATCATCCATATAAGAGAATACTGACTCGGAAATTATTAGAATTCAGCGTAAAAACGAAGACAATCACCCCGGGGCCCACAGCCAGGCTCTCGACGCCTCAAATATTCTGGCGTATACTTCTGTCAATCGACTCACTTCTTATTGCATTCCATAGCTTTCTAGATAGAGTACCATCATAATGAAAATATATAAATCTTATCTCAAAGATGAGTAGTCGATGCAGCTAAAGGATGAACAAAGAGGGAAATATATATATATATATATATATATATATATATATATATATATATATATATATATATATATATATATATTTCATGATGAATAATAATGCTATATTTAATCAGTTAATCTCAGTGGTTGCATTTCTCCCAGTATTGTTCATGTCAAACTTTGAAATACTGTTTTACATTTACTGAGACCTTGTTTTGGCACATGTTACATATGCATCACTAATATCTACTATGGCACATTACAAATTAACAAAATATTCATATTGTTAGAGACAATACAGTTGTACAATAATTGCTAATCACTTGCGTCATCCAAAAAAGAGAGAGGAAAAAAGTGAAAAGAGAATACCTGTCGATTTCGAGGTCATCCATCCCACACATGTCCTAATGTCTCTGAGTTTCTGGAAAAATCCATACAGTGTAGTATCTATAATCACCGAAATGTATTTCAACATGGCAGTCTATAGTACCCAACATTGCCTTTGCTATATCATGTCCATACATACAGTGGCTTGATATTCTAAAGTCCACTTCTACACTTATACTTATATATTTTTTCTAGGACTTACCAGAATATCAGCTGAGACTGCAACACATACAGTATGCAGTCTATAGAATATCAGTCAGTCTTAAAAGAATGGTACATGGAAATGAATAGGTAAAAAAAGTCTCTCTTTCTTAATCAATGTTCATATCAGCGTCTACAGCCTCCTATAGTTTGATATTCAACTTCGAATCTATATTAAATTTAGATCAAGCACTTCAGCAGTGAAGTGAAAAGAATACATCTGAAAATCAAAATATACTTAAAAATATCCTGATATAGTTGTTTACTTGTCCAATAGTGACAATCACTATCTCAGTCATCATTATATCCCTCGTTCCTACATTTATTCCTCAACCAGAATCAAAAATGCATATCAAATAAATACATAATCGAATTTCTTTCACATTATCATGAATGCTCATTACTGGATTCATTCATAAAAAATACACTAATCAAAATAAATCTACAGGCTGAACCTCTCTAATCCTTTAAACTCACAAATGTATCTTTCAATGAACAAATGAGAGGCTTTTCCAATCTACCAGCATCAATATTTACCTGTACCAGTACATCTAAAGTAAGCCATTTGTCTAGCCTAAGATCGCTGATTCCCTACATGGTATGTCGTTCCACAAATATATCTGAGATATTGGCACAAGGAAATAGTTAGACGAAGCATATGCAAAAATATAATATACCGTAAAAAAAGAAAGCTAGTTTGGTTTAGGTGATATGGGTATAGATTAATATATATATTTCAGCTCCCATTATGTCATACAGGTAAACAGCTAACTTAAATTACACTGAATGTAAGCATAGAACAATTACAGCAGGACTAGCAGGGACTAGCAGGTGTAAAAAAGAGATGTGGCCGCCAGACACGGATCCCTGTGTTACCCTCTGAGCTGATCCAGCCAAAGGACCACAGATCAGTATCCACAGAGGTTCAGCCTGTATCATTTTGTAGAATGGTTACAATGAAATATCTATGTAATTACTTGATCATTTCTAAAGTCCTATCATACTTTCCAGAGATTAGTTTCCAAATGTCTAGAAATAATTGTTTTGTATCTATAACTGCATATCTCGCTGTGACTCAGTATCTGAGAATCTTGCAATGATTAATTCTTTGAGAAAATATCTACAATTACACTGTCAAAATTCTTGTGCATCTCTACTTCTCATAGACAAGAAAGAGCTTACTACCTATTGTGAAGTATAGTTCATCTAACCATCTTCACTACAATATTTTTAAAATCAATATTGGGTATGATACAAGGTGCAAAGCTGTCTTTGTTGAAGGGTATTCTATCATTTATCCTTGTAAGAAGGGACTGGCTATACGAGGATTCTAAAATGTGCTTCATTAGAAAAAGTGTACATCTACTAACCCTTCATTTTAAAACTATAAATTCATTTGCCTTATAAGTATCAAAGATATACATTTACTGTATTTTTGTAAGGTAGTTAAAAAACAATGTTAATAAAAGAATTACAGGAAGTGAAATGCATTAACAAAATGAACCTTTAACAGTGTCACAGGTGCGTCATTTCATCCTGGTCTGGAGGAGAGTGTCTGGTGGCACCAAGGCAGTCAGCTAAGGAAGCAGCTCGAGAACGTCGCCTAGTATGTTGAGGATCTCCTGCCAAGCTTGAGTCAGAGGCAGCAGGGTGGAGGGAACGTGGTGCCAAGAGGCTTTCAGTGCTCTTAGGCTTGGAAAAGAGGCATGTGTGAAGAGGTGCTGGATCGAGATTTAAGCAGTCACAAGAAAAGCAGGAGCCATCCAGAGGGGAAACAAGATTCTCTGATGATCGCGGCGAAGGTCGCACCCCTCCCCCACCGCCTGCCACATTTTCCTTGTCCTCCTCCCTCAAGCGATGGGTGCTAACTGACCGCAACTTCTCACCCCTGCCAGCTCCACGAGGGGGGATCGTATCAATAAACCCATAGCCAAACCCATATCCACCAAATGCCCTTGTGGAAAGCAAGTTATCCCAAGAGTGTGGTTTACGCTGTTGCCATTGCTGCTGAGCGACAGATGGTACAGAGCCAAGAGGAGTGTGAATAGTTTGGGCTGGAGAGCTACACTCAGAAGACACATGTGGCCTCCGGACAGCACCAGGGGAACAGTTGAGTTGGAGATATTGTTGTTGTTGTAGTTGTTGCTGTTGTTGTTGGTGCTGCCGATGGTGATGAAGTGGTGAAGGGGCATGAGACTGGGAGTTGGTGGAGGACATTGCACCCCATTGATCTTGTGGGGGTCTTATGGGGTTCTGGGCACTACAAGGGCTGGCAGGGGGTATGCGATACTGGATGGGTGGGGGCAGCACCCTAGAGGAGGTAGGCAGGGGGGATGAGGTGGTGCTGGAGGCAGGAAGCAGTTGCCGGTGGTGGTGGTGGTGGTGGTGCTGGTGGTGGTGATGGTGATGGTACAGGTGCTGGTGTGGACGGCCGGACACCGGGTGCTGGGGGATGCGGAAACCCTGGGCTCTCCATGCTGAGGAAGAAACCACCATACCAGGCAATGAAGCGTCAATCTCAGATGGAGGATGTGCTAGGATGTACTGAGATCTGAATGCTCTCATCATGACTGTGGCCATAAACACAGCATCACTGTAGATTCAGTCCAACTGATGGCAAGTAGGTAAGAACTACAGAGAAGTGTGATTAAAGGCAAGTTTGTCACAGTGACACCAAACAGTCTGCAGTCAAAGCATTTAACATAATCAGGAGATTTACTATTATTTTGAGCTTTAAAACTGGTAACTATAAATAACCACAATGAACTATGAATAAGTTCACATAGGTGTTCATAGTAAATCTCCTGAGAAACTGAAAATTTGCCAATCTCATGAATTATAGTAAGTATCTCAAAGCTAGGGAGTGCACTATCATATTTACAGTGAAAGGTACAAGTATATTGATAATAGGCTTTATAATCTTTCAAACTTTAAATCAGAGACAATAATGGAATGGTTTAAATCATTGTGCTTCATGCTAGAGCTACAGTATCAGGTCATCTATTATATTCCATATAGGAAAACATGCTTAAAACATTAACATGCTCATGATAGGTTAAATAAATCATATACACTAACAGGAACTCTCTCTTATAAATAAATTGCCACTGCATTAGGCTGTGCTAGGATTAAGGGAACAGATTTCAAAAACATAGAAAACATGAAATCCTAGTGAGGCTGAAATAGATATATATAAAGAAAAACACCAATAATCATTTATTTAAACAAGGTTGGCACGGTATGCGGTAAGGGAGTCAGCCAGTGCCCCCACTGTCCGGCTCACCTCTGCAGCCTGGAACCATTCACCACTTGGGGAACTAGAGGCAGGGGAGGACATTCTGGTAGACATGCCAGGCCATGAGGATGATGGGTATGATGTTGCAGGAGGGGTAAAGGCATTCCTCTCCCCCACTGCTCTGACTGCCCTTGGTACGTCGTCACTTGATCTGCACCCTTGAGACTTCCGTCGACGTGGGGCAACATTCCTCCGGGTGCGAGGAGTAGCATCAAGGTCAACAGAAGCTTCATCATCTGACAAGACACCTCTGTCTTCTCGAGGTACAAGACAGTCCCTAGGTTGAGGTGTGCCATATACAGATGACTCACTGGATATCTCTGAGTATAGACTATCATAGTTAGTGGTAGCACCTCGACGGTCGGGTGGTCGATCCTCTAGGGAGTTGTCTGAGGACCAGCGTGCTTCCATAGAATCTGAACGTAGCCTTGGCTCCTGTGGGGCTGGAGCAAAGCGATAGACATCTCCTGCAGAATTATTTACTTCGCGTGCTGGAGTAACGAGTGAATCAGTGCAAAGTGACCGAGAGCGTGCGGAAACTACAGTCCTTCCAGAGTGATCTGTTGCAGAACTGATACCTTCACAACTTCCAGTCCAGGAGTATAATGAATTTGGTCTAGTTTTACGTTCATGGTGCTGCTGGTGCTCCCGATTGTGAGGCTGGTGATGTAAGGATGGCTCTTGTCGCGCATGCCAAGACTTCTGTTTAGGCAGAGACTTGGATGAGGCTTTACGCGACGTCTGCCATGATCTTGTTTCATCGTTCTTTGGCGATGGGAACATCCAGTTTGTACCCATGCAACCTCTTGCTTCGGATTCACGCTCTACTTCTTTGTGACCTACATCCCTTCGAGAGAGACTTGCATTTCTACGCTTATTTTTCTCGGTATGGCAGCTATTCCATTCTGGTTTCTTTGAGAACATTTCATTTACTGGAGGATGGGTTCTCTGCCTATCGTCCCTCCATGATTTTTTCCAGGCTGCAGGACTTCCACTTTTGGATAAATTTTCCTTACCAACATTATCATCTTTCATGTAGCCACCTACAATTCGGCTCATTATATAAGAATCAGATCCATCTATGATTTCCTGCTTATTTTCCCCACCATGACCTATTTTGAAAGGAATGCGATTCGACTGCCTTGGCTTCGTGCTATGAGTGCAGGAACCTTTTATACATTCTCTCGTGATAAAGGGCGTGGAAGAGCCACGGGAAGATCTGAGCGACTCCGATCGCGATATTGGTGGTACACTCTTCTTATTTGTACTGTCCCTAATTTTCTCCCCAGAACCCTCACATAGAGAGGTGCAGGACCTCTGCTTGTGCGTGTTTTTAGTAGACTCCCATGAAGTGCTCGAAGAAACCTGAGATTTTTTGGATCTTGAGAGGCTCCTTGGTCTCTCCTCTGAGTTCTGCCGAGATCTGTAAGGCGCATGGAAGGAGCCCCCTCGCACCATGTGAGGATGACTCTCCGAGGGAGAAGGCGCAAATCTTGCAGATGCAAACGGCAGAGACAGAAATGGGTGCATATGGAGGTCTGATGATCGTACATGTGATGAAATCTCAGAACAAGAATCTATGTTATCCTCAAGACCATACTCAATTTTCTGATTATCATCCGATCCAAATATACTAGTCAGTTTGTCTTCGTCTAAAGAACTGCATTTCTTGGGATGTAGCGCATCTTTTTTCTTTCTCGTTTTAGAGCCCTTTCTGTGTGGCAAACTAGAACTGCTGAAGTTGAATTCTGTGGGTCCCTTTAGGCTTGATGTATGCTTAGGACTACGGTCATATTCTTCTAAGCCACTAAGACTCATTTTCTCGAAGGGAGACTTCGGTCCCTCTCCGTTCTGAGGTTCCTGAGTCACGGAACTTTTGAGCTCTTTTATAACCGAGTCATACATGAGGCACTGATCATTTGGCATACAGGAGACAGATGATGCCCGGCTCATTTTGTATTCGGCTTTACCCCTCCTAGGATCATCCTCCGCTTTCTTCTTCAGCATATCTGGATCCCTCCCAGTGCGACTGTTTTGCATAATTTGCTCTTTCTTAAAGCTGTCCTTCCTATGTAAACTTCCCCTTTTTTGGTAACTCCCCTTTGACTTTATGATCACATTCCCCTCTTTAGAAACCGCATCAAGACCTAAGAATGTGGAAAACGGTGTCACAGACTCGTTCCTGCTTTTTTGCATCTCGTGCCAGTTGTCTCTGTCCCTCGGCCACCTCCAAGCCTCGGCACTGAGAGCTCGACGGTGGCTCTGGAAAGCTTTACCCTCCCCGTCCTGCATGGTAACCCCACCGCCTTCCTGTTGTCTCTTCTGAACAGCAAACCCCGGCGAGTGGTTTGCATTGCACAGAGGATCATTGCAACTAGTTGGCAAAGGAGGATAAGAAGTCCTCCCAGAACATGGCAAACTATGGTATTCGTTAGTCTGATTTGCGTGGAAGGTGTTCATACCCCAAGACATTCTGTTATTCGCATTTGAACCGTAAATAAGGTGAGAATCTATACTGCCGTCTGAGTAAATATTCGCATCCCACCCCATGAAGCCCTGTACATTACCCTGATTTTCCTGATGTTGAAAAATATTCGCATTTATCACTTTACAAGACGGAGAATACAGAGCACCGATCTCATCCGTCCTCCTACTCTCGTTCTTTATTTCCCCAGTCGTCAGCTGGTTCTTATTGTCATGGACTTGCGGCGACATTCTACCCGACATTCTTCGCGTGTACGCTCTGCCGAGGTCTTCGAGACGAGGGACGTCATCCCTGCAAGAAAGGGAGGTGGGAGTGGTGTGGTGAATGTGGCCGTGCATGGTGACGGTGGCTGGGTGCTTGTGTGAGTGTGAGGCACCCGGGTGATGCCGGGGGGTAGTAGTGGTGGTGTGTGGATGGTGGGCAGCAGCAGACAGGTTGTGGATGGTGGAGGTGGAGGTGGAAAGTGAGGTCGGGATGAGGCAGGTGAGGTCCCGTTCGGGCGGGAGAAGCCGGCGCTGCGCCCTCAACCAGTCCAGCAGGCGGGCGTGGGCGATGTTGAAGGCGTGACGCACAGGGGATGACGCCAACTTACCAGCCAGCAAGGACTTCTCCTGGTGACACAACCGCTCCAGGTCAGACATCTTCTCCTGCAGGAGACGTTGCAGCTGGATGTATCGCATGTGCAGTTCCACCTGGCCATATAAGTACATCACTACAGTATCTAGTGTATAATTATTCAGCATTCTACCTGACTTTTGGTGAGCTCTTTTGCAGAGTATAGCATGTAAAAGCTAAAGTTTAAGAAAATTATTGACATTGTGATAATTTGGATACTGATAGTCATTATTAATGCCAATGATATGAACAACAACTGGACATTCAAAATATTGATACATGCCATATCTTTAATTCTTTAATGAAAATTGTTTCTGTAAAGTCTTCTGAAAAAAAATAAAACATAAGCAAATGCATCTAAAAAAAACTACAACCCATACTCTAACAAAAAAGTTGTTAAAATAGAAATAGAAATGTAAAATGATACAGTACAAAAATAAAAAAAATTAACAATTCACAATTTCATCCCAACTGGTCACCATAAGTGTTTCTAAACTAGTAAAAAAATCTCAGTCTTTCAGTATCAAGCGACAGAAAGTACATGATATTTACCTACTTCCAACTGTCAGCTATTTGCAAAGAACACTTTTGCAATGTAATGGGTTTTGTCTCCACGACCGGATTCACGAGAAACACAACACTAGTTCTTATAACTGAACATTAGATACAGATTCTTTATCCTTGATAAATATCTATCTACATTTACTCCTTAGATTTTTTTTATATAAAAGTAAGGAAATTTTTAAACTTGAAGAGAGGGGATTATTTCTCCAATTCATATAACAAATAATATAATCAATAAGGAAAATAAACATGTAAAGAATTTCACTGGATAAAATCTACAGCTGTACACAACTCTCTCTTTACATATATCCACACACTGCTTACACGTTCGATATCGTAGCGCTGGTGGGCAAAGGGGGGGGGGGCAGACCCTCTCGCCACGCTCGCTTGGCTCATCCCCCCCTTCTTAAAAATCCTTGTACACTCCTAAATAATATTCATACAATATGCATACGAGCATGTGTATCTGCGTGTACATACATACATACATACATGCATGCGTGCATACACACACACATACATACATACATACATACATACATACATACGTACATACATACATACATGCATACATACATATGTATACACACACAAACACACACACACACACACACACACACACACACACACACACACACACAGAAACACACACACACATACACACACACACACACACATACACATCTATCTATCTATACATATATGTATGTATATGTGTGTGTGTGTGTGTGTGTGTGTGTGTGTGTGTGTGTGTGTGTGTGTGTGTGTGTGTGTGTGTGTGTGTGTGTGTGCGTGTGCGTGTGCGTGTGCGTGTGCGCGCGTGTGTGTGTGTGTGTGTGTGTGTGTGTGTGTGTGTGTGTGTGTGTGTGTGTGTGTGTGTGTGTGTGTGTGTGTGTGTGTGTGTGTGTGTGCACGCGCATGCACACAGTCAGTCGGTCACTCAATTACTCACACAGTAACACCATGACAAACACTTCCCCTGCTGTATTGTTTCATCATAAAAATTAAAATAGCAGTGAAATAAATAACAGAAAATGTCAATACTGATAAATCATACCGTTTGCGTCAATGTCAACAAACTATTTTTGCAGCAGTTTTATATGTCAGCATTGTGTTAGTGAGATGTTATAACATATCTGTTTTATTTTTTAAAGTAATATTAGTGTGTTTACCATTTATATACTAAACAACATGAATGCAAATGGTGATAACTCGTAGCACAAATCCTCACAATTTGCAATGAGCTGCAATGGTTAGTTCTCTTCACGCATTCACAAACATCCAGTCAGTGTACTTTCTTTAAACTGCCATGACCTCAACTTGGGTCGATTCTCAGTACCCTGACCTCAACTTGGGTCGATTCTCAGTGCTCTGACTTTATTTTGGGTCGATTCTCAGCTTTGTGTTCATCGGCTGCTATAGCTTAACCATGGCGCGAGTCTAAAATCTTTTCTCTTGTTTTGGAGTGTGAAATCGATTGATAATTTTGTCCACGTTCAGAGTCGGACCCTACCTGTTTGAGTTAAAATATTCGGATAATCCTACGATGGACTCGGATGACTATGTAGTCGTGTGTGAGAAAGAGAGAAAAGGGCAAAAGAGAAAGAGAAAGAAAATGAATAAGAGAATATGCACTAAAAGGGAAAAGAGAGAAGGGAGGGTAGTAGGGTGTAGCGCGAGAACTTTTGGGGGCAGAATTCCCAATTTTAAACCAAACTGTTAATTAGTATTATCTTATTGGTTGATTAAATAATGGTTATTTGTCTTCTCTCAGAAGTAATTAGTCTTCACATCTAAGAAGTATTAGGTTCCTGGTTAATAAAGAGTGAACAAACACACTGCCGGTTAAACACTGCATTAATGATATTAGTACTAATATCTCCTAATTAATTTCATGTGTAAATTATAGTCCCATGTAATGCTGAATTGCTTTCTATGTACTAATAACCACTGTAACAAATGAAATGATGTATTTTGAATTCAAATTTGAATCAGAAGTATAACTGTAATTGATGATTCGATCATTAAGGCAAAAATACAAATGCTAAATGACAGCTCGAGCGGTGAATGCCTGGAGTATTTTCGTCTGTTACTAGACACTTATAGAAAATTAAAAGTGATAAATAAAGTGTCATGGGTGGTTCTCAGCCTAATTCCGAGTAAAAAAAAAAAAACAATTACATAAGTGCGTTACTCCCGGAAAGGTACCATACGCATTAAATCATTACCCCAAACTGTTTTTTTTTTTCAACGCCACATAACCTACGTTGATTGGATTCTTTCTAATGGTAACGTCAGAACCTTCTCATCAAAGGATTGTCTTTCTTGCTCCTGGAAAAGATGATACTACCAGAAAAAAAGGAAAGATGAGGCAGGCCATGAAATCTCAACATTACCATGAGGGCATCTTTGGCCATGCATTAAATCAACATCGATCAATTAGGTAGTCTTAAATTTCCCTCGCTTACAAAATAAGGATCCTCTATAGTTAATTATATGGTTTGTTATTGCTCATACGACTACACGGTCACAGTCGAAAGCTTACCTGCCGCATACCGCGCTATTATAATCGGCAGTCGAAAGAATCCCTGCATTCTGTCTTCTAAAACCCAAAATGATTATGTTCAATCTGCGCTGTGCCTTGTGATTCTGTTACGGCATAATCATGTTTTTTTTTTCCTTTTTCTTTTTTTTAAGCATAAAACGAGCGAATCTACGGGCTTAAAATCCGAATGAAAAAAAATCCTTGCGTTGGAAATGAGCATTCAGGTTTTTTCTTAATTAATTTCTGCGCACTGCTCAGACTGCCTTTTCTTTTCATTTATTTCATTTTCTCTTCATTCTCTTTTTATATATATATATAAATTTCCCATCGTTTCAATAACTCGCAAATGAGAGTATTCCTGGTTGGGAAACTCGTTGACTGTGAATTCATCATTATTCTGAGTGGCCAGATGTGTATCCCCATTTAACACGTAATAATGTTATTGATAAACGATTGATTGAAGAGAAAACCCCGATCGTGGAGTGAATGGCGGTTGTTCGTGGAAGGGGGGGAGAGGAGAGGAGGGGGGAGGGGAGAAGAGGGTGTATCAGAATTCATTAATTTTCTTTTTTATTTTCTTTTTTTCTCTCTTCCCATTTACGCCCGGATTTTCCTGTCTTTGGTTTTCCCAGCAAAGCAAATAAAAATAACGAAGGGTAAATATAAAGGTCGTAATCACGTTATGTCATTAGAAAAAAAATCTGGCATATGATTATCATGTATATATTTTCTCATTTCATCTCATATTTTATTTATTTCTTCTTCTCTCTCTCTCTCTCTCTTTCAGTCTCTCTCTATCACTCTCTCTTCCAGTCTCTCTCTATCACTCTCTCTCTCTCTCTTTCAGTTTCTTTCTCTCTTTCACTCTCTCTCTCTCTTTCACTCTCTCTCTGTCACTCTCTCTTTCAGTCTCTCTCTCGCTTTCACTCTCTCTCTCTCTCTCTCTCTCTCTCTCTCTCTCTCTCTCTCTCTCTCTCTCTCTCTCCTCTCTCTCTCTCTCTCTCTCTCTCTCTCTCTCTCTCTCTCTCTCTACAAAGTACAGTCATTTTCGTTTCGCGTTTGAAGGATGGGCACAGAGTGGACTTCAATTTCTTTATGTGAATAGAATTTAGGCCATAGCTTAGAAAAGTGTATACCACATTTTCTGCAACGTAAATGTAAATATTTATTTAGTCTGGAATACACTGCGAATTCTTTGCTGAAAATGGAATCTCAAGAAAAGCTGACTGTTATATCTGCTGCCTTGTGAATAATATTAATGATAACATTTTGTTTTTTACTACATAATTTCGCTTAATTCTTGGCGTACACTAGAATGCTTAATATCTAATCATCCCAGAATTTAAAAAAAATAGAAAAAAATAAGAGGATAAAAAAGATAGATAGAGATAGAGAAATAAAAAAATATATATATCCATACACGAACTAAAAACTCAAAAAAATAAATATATCACCAAACCTAATCAACCACTGCAGCAAATCAGTAAGTGTAAAGTCACCGTTAATGTTTGAGCTTCACCAAGACTAGTACCAAAAAAAAAATAAAAAATAAAATAACTAAAGTGGCAGAGGCATAATACCCCCAAAAGTACACTACCTTGTGCACACAATCTTCGAACAGCACCACCATACGCATCCTGTCCCCGCAGCCCTGGATGAAGTTGACTAGAGCCTTGTGGTCGGCCTTCTCCATGTCATGGCCATTGATCGAGAGAATAACATCACCTGTGTGTTGAAATGTAGTTAGTGGGGGGGGAGGGATGTTCGAGAGAGAGGGTTACGGTGTGGTGAGGCTTTTTTTTTTGTCAAAGTGATGGAATTGGCATAGCTTTTTCTTTCTTTTCTTCAATTATATAAAAAAACTATTTCAATTTTCGAATGAATAAATCTACTTATATCTATCCTTAACATTTTTTATATATAGCTAATACTAACAATATCTTTTACTGATCTATTTCAAACACATTTCGAGATATACCAAAAAACTGAACAACATAAAAAAAACAACTAAATAAACGAAGCCTCAAACACATATCACCACGAAGCCACCAACAGAAAACGGAACTGACCTTCGCGCATGCCAGCCCGAAACGCAGGACCGGCATACTCGACAAAGTCCACGTACGTAATGACTTCAATTTCGCCGTCCTTCTTGTAGTGAATGCCATAGCTCTGTAAAGGAAAACATAAGCTGGTGAAATCTATCTCAGTCTGGCGTTCCTGTAGGTATACTCACACAAGACATACTCGAGCTAGGGTATACTGTTTTACACAAAAATGATGTGTTCGGAGGCAAAGATGGCTGATGTAGTGATGCTATTGTAAGTAGAAGTAGTATTTTCATCAAAATACTACATAGTCATCTGTTCTATCATTATTCATATTATTATCACTATTATTATTCCTCTTCCCCTTCATCATTATTATCATTATTATCATTATTATCATTATCATCATCATTACTATGATTATTATCATTATAATTTGTATTATTATTATCATTTGTAATAGTAGTAGTAGTAGTATTGTAATTATCCACGTTATCCTTATCATCATTATCATCATCAGTGTCATCATTATTATTATCATTATGATCATCGTCATCATGATATTATTATGATGACGATGATATTATGATGATATTATTATTATTATCAAAATTATTATTATCATTATCATCACCATCATTATTATTATGATCATCATTATTATTATCATTATCAGTGTTATCATTATTATCACTATTATCATTATCATTATGATCATCATTGTTGTCACTATAATCATTACTATCATTACTATCATCATTACCTTTACCATTATCATTGTCATTACCATTACTACTACTGCTTCAGTTACTTTTTAAAACTCTCACCCCGGTTCATCGAAAAATAATACATTTACCAAAATCAGTGAACCGGCAACTCTTTCGGGAAATTTGGCGGGAAATTACGAAAAGGAGGATTGGAGTCGACAGTGTAAATCACTCCGCTGGGTGCGGAGGTGATGCGGTATCTGCGTGGGTGTGTCTGTCTCTCTTTCTCTTTCTATTTATCTCTCGTTATTTTTATTTTTCTTTCTCTCTCTCTCTCATGCTCTCCCCTTCTCTTTTCATTTTTCGATCTCGCATTCTCTCTTTCTCTTTCTCTCTCTTTCTCTTTCTCTCTCTCTCCCTCTCGCCCTCTCCCTCTCCCTCTCTCGCCTCTCCTCTCCCTCTCCCTCTCTTGCCCTCTCCCTCTCTTGCCCTCTCCCTCCCTCGCCCTCTCCTTCTCCCTCCACCTGTCTCGTCCTCTTCCTCTCCCTTCATCCCCTTCTCTCTCCCCCCCTTCTCTTCTCTCCCCCCCTCTCTCTCTCTCTCTCTCTCTCTCTCTCTCTCTATCTCTCTCTCTCTCTCTCTCTCCCTCTTTCCTCTCCCTCTCCCTCTCTCTCCCTCTCCCTTCTCTCCTCTTCTCTCCCTCTCTCTCTCTCCCTCTCCCTCTCTCTCTCTCCCTCTCCCTCTCTCTCTTTCCCTCTCCCTCTCCCTCTCTCTGTCTCTCCCTCTCCCCCTCTCTGTCTCTCCCTCTCCCTCTCCCTCTCTCTGTCTCTCCCTCTCCCCCTCTCTGTCTCTCCCTCTCCCCCTCTCTGTCTCTCCCTCTCCCCCTCTCTGTCTCTCCCTCTCACTCTCCCCCTCTCTGTCTCTCCCTCTCCCTCTCCCCCTCTCTGTCTCTCCCTCTCCCCCTCTCTGTCTCCCCCTCTCCTTCTCTCCCTCTCCCCTTCTCTGTCTCTCCCTCTCTCACTTTCTCTCCCTCTCTCTTACTTTCTCTCCCTCTCTCTCACTTTCTCTCCCTCCCTCCTCTCTCACTCTCAATCTCTCTCTCACTCAGTCTCCCTCTCATTCTCACTCTCTCTCCCCCTCTCTTTCTCTCTCCCTCTCCCACTTAAATAAATATACACTCTCATGTGCGCAAATGAACATCATGACACAGATACATACAGATACAGATACAGACACACACACACACACACACACACACACACACACACACACACACACACACACACACACACACACACACACACACACACACAAACACACACACACACACACACACACACACACACACACACACACACACACATACACACCGTTATATTTACCGGATTAGATCATTTCCACGTAATGCACGTAATCACTCACAAAAGCATTTTCCAACCAATGATTGTTTTAACAAATCTGACGTTTCCTCTCTCATTATTTTTCGTTATTATCCCCATCTTTCTCTCTGTGAATTCTCATCTTGTATTTTTCTTTCACACAGAGATCTCCGAGTCGATTCTAATGATATAATTCATTTGAAGACAATCTAAATCACCCTTTTTTCACTCTGCCATTTACTAAATTCAATCTAACCTAAGAAGAAAAATCCTATTTTATCCATTACTGTTAATTTGATCTTGTTTTCTGTACAAAAATCTTAGTCTTATTATAATTTTCAATTAACACCTGTTATAGCAAAAATACAAAAATAATTAAGAACACTAATCGTGATCATATTGAGTGTCCAATTTATATAAATAAAAAAATAAAAACTGTTGTCTGACACTGATATAGATTTCTGAATAATTCCGAGGGATTTTATTCCTGTCACGTTCGCTCTTTCTCTCGTCTCCCAAGTTTAATGCTCTCTTTTATATCTCGTTATCCGTCATTCCATTCGCTTCCGAAACGTTCGTATGTTGCTTGCCTCCCTCCCCCCTCCTCCTCCTCTTCTTACCCGATCTCTTTTCCTCTTTCTCTCTCTCTCTTCTTCTTCTTTCTAATTCCCTTTCTCTCTCTCTCTCTCTCTCTCTCTCTCTCTCTCTCTCTCTCTCTCTCTCTCTCTCTCTCTCTCTCTCTCTCTCTCTCTAAACCAGAATGGCCTCACGAATATGGACCGACTTCCCTAACATCCCGTCTCTTTAAACCGGGGCTCGGCAACTAAGGCACAGAGCGGCTCTAAGTCATCTCAAGTTACGCAACTTGTCGCCGAATGTTGCGAGACTCGGGCGATGAACAACGTCGTCTTATACTAATGGCTGTATGTATATGATATAAACTTACTTTGAAGGAGTATTATTCCTTTGGCATTAAGCTTTATTATTGACATTTCTCTCTGTATGAAGCTTGGGCCGCCGACCCCTTGTTTGTCTTCTCCGCCAGATCGAAGACCAGATTCACACAAAAACTTTTTTTTCCGGACATCTGTTGTACAGAAAGTGCAAAATCTCGGCCTGGATAAACATAACTGGTACTGTGGCGCTTAACAGATTCACCGCATTTGGTCTGGAAAACATGATTCTCGCATCCGGAAATTACCTGCACCAAATATCTAGTCTTGCAGATATCGACATTTCTTCTTTTGATAAGGAGACATTATCGTGCAGACAATTTGGCACTCTTCTATGTAATTATAATATCTCTCAAATGAAAAATAGAAGTGTTACCAAATATGGGTAATGA